CCACCGATACCGATGTTCTTATAGAACATAGTATTGACAGTCCTCCGGTCATACCCATCGGCGAGGTGCCTCATCATTGTATCTTTCTTACGATCTTCGCCATGCCAGCGCAACAGCTTGGCTGACTTTGCACATGCAAACAGCCTATGCACCCGGAGAGCTATAAGAAAATATCAAACGACCTTTACGGGACCTCCTTTGGTCTTGATACCCTCATCTGACGGCCCTTTCTTGTACCGTGGAGCTTCACACTTGGGGCACTTGTCCAAGTCTTTGTATTTTTCTCCACGGTACAATATGCAATCATTGGAACACGTGTGGATTTTTTCAACCTCGAGGCCGATGGGACAGATCATTTGCTTGGCCAAGTATGTCTTTTTTGGCAACTCGTTTTTTTCTGGGAACATTTTCCTTATTATACCTAACAATTGATCGAAGCCTTTATCGCTCAATCTGTTTGTCGATTTGAACTCTAACAGATCGAAGCCTTTATCGCTCAATCTGTTTGTCGATTTGAACTCTAACAGCGTGATGTCGGCTTCCAGTTCGCTTATTGGACAATTCCTATACAATGGTGTTTTGCCATCTTGTCTTATTTTCTCTAGCTTTCTCAGCTGTCTTTCACTAAGACATCCGGTCTCTACATTATATAGCAGCTGAGAAATGACATCGTTATTCTCGGTGTCGTCAGCTAGCATATTCCTAAACACATTATTAACTGTGGCCATAGGTTCTATGTTGACACCGGGTTCCTCATTAGCATGTGGATGGCTACGTCAGGCATGTCCACATCATCATCGTTTTCCTGCAGAACATTCACACCAACCTCACCATACATAGTCCATATCGTATAGTTTGGCATGAACCCCTGGTAATCAAGTGCGATCGTATAGACTCAATTTGACGAAAGTTCCTTTGATTCTTGCAATCTTTGCATGGGCAGAAGACATGGTTCCTATTTCCAGCATGGGCTTTGGCATCGGTGATAAACTGACTGACGCCATGCATGTACCGCTTGTCCGTTCGGGACAGATGCATCCACTCTCGATCCATCTCTGCACAAAAAAATACTAAGACAGTAATTACAAAGAATTAATAAGAAATCGAGCTTCATGAACAACAATTGTAGCTCGAAAGTATCATTTTTAGAAAACATTATTGTACACTAATTATTAAAAAATTGAAATTGGTAGCCCCGACCCTGTAAATTAAAAATCGTAGTAAAAAACAATTATTGCACGATATTGAAGAACAACTATTATACTCTATTTCTAAGAACTAATTATAGCATCACATACTAACAATGATGATCTTGACCACCATGGAATAATTAGCTAGGAATTTAAATATGTTCATAGACACCAACCGTTTGGATGATGGATTCACCATAATTTGAGCCTTGCACAAATGTCTAATTGGAAAAATGATCTCTAGAATAGAGAAAGAACTAGAATGAGAATCAAGCAATATAGCCATCAAAACGAAGCTAATTAAGCAAAAAAAAATCAAAGGAGTGGATGTTTGTTACTAACCTTAAAGAAAAAGATCAAGCCATTCTTCAAAATCCAAGCGCTAGCTTTACGGTGAAGAGCAGCCGCAACAATAGAGGGAATGACCCAAACACGCGCCTCTGTTCTCAGAATGAAAGAGAGGAGGAAGAAAAGGACGGATTTGACCTTTTTTCTTTGAGAGATCTTATCACCGTCGGTTTTGGCTAGGCAAGCGGTGATTAGCCAAATCTTTGCCGGTTTATGGCTTGAACAAGTATGATAAGTGGCCGCCAAATACATAATGCGGTTCAAGCCACATACCGACAGTGATGTGGTGCTTCACTGCCGGTTTTAGCCCAGCTCCAATCATTTTCTTATTTTCAAGCTCATAACTGACAGTGAAGGTACATCACTGTCGGTTCTTACAAATCCAGCAGTGATGAGACCGGCAGTAATGTCCAAATCTGGCGTAGTGTCAACATAATATGTAGGATCCGTTTGCATCCTTGAAATTGAATTCATTCTAATAATTACAATTTAGACATAGATTAATTAAGCTAATATAGTTATATATGAAATATATTTATATATTTATTGTTAGGCATGCAAGAAAAATACTTATATATTATATTTCTATTGTAGGGAAGTGAGTTGAAGAGTGTGCTATATGTTGAAGAATAGAATTATAGCATAATGATCTATAGAATCCATTTTCATCTCTCACCTTATGAATTTGAGATAGGATTATTTGTGAGCTTGAAAATGCTATGGAATGTCAAATTTTAAGCCAAATAGTCTAATGCATTATGTATATTTTAATTCCTCCAAAACGAAGGAATCCAAACGGCCCCTAAGTAAATTCTTGTGTCACTTCACAGATCCAGGAGCTACTACAGGTAGCAAATATTTCATCACACAAAAGTATATACTCAATAAAATTTGAGCTCAACATTATCGGAGATAATTTGTGCCATGTATGATAAAATTACTGCTCTGGAGTATAAACATGCGTGTAAGAACCTATGTTATGAAATTTCAGATATACGATCATAACGGTTCATACTTCATATAACAGAGTTGACTTTAGTAATTTTGTTGAGGTGAACTGTTCAAACATTCGATCGTTTACCATATGTCATTGCGATATATTTTTTTGGTTGATTTGTTATATTGTTGAGACCATCAATATAGCTCTGACTTCAGAAAGTATCAAACAAAAAACCCTGTAGGCTGTAGTAGTTGCTCTGCTCGCTGCCTTTATGCAGCTGTACTTTTCATTTAACGATAGCCTACTGGGGTATATAACCTCTTCAATAATTAAATATAAGAACATATTTCATATACAGGATTAGCAAGACACAAATAATAATAGTACCTTTTTTATGGATCTATTTGTTGAAGCTCTTATAATAGCTTTTAGGTTGATTTAGGGGCACTATGCCATATAGTATTTTTGCAAATATATTGATTATAGGTTGATTCTGTAAAGTGTTTATCTAAAATGAATTAAGAGGCTGAGATTAGCGGAAAGATGGAAAAAGCCTTGACAGCCGACGTAATTTAATGCGCATTGCCCTTATAGAGTGGATTGTGCTATTTCTACTTAGGCAATTGCACCTAGTTTCTCCTGATTTATTTCCTGCACATGATATCATTTTCTCATACCGTTTATCCTAGACAATAATCATAGATAATCACTTTCAGCTATAGGATTACTTCTTTCAAAAAACAAAAGAAAGTAGGAGTGACTTTGACCCTAAAAGTGCAAAGCACATAGGTACGGAGAATCGCACGTACTGCACTTTTATTCTCGTCCAATCATTAAGGTTTCTTTATTTGGAAATGTTGATGCGCCAAAAAAAAATCAATCCACAAGTTCTTTGGCTAGTTATATTTAATCTCAATTATCAACTCCCTTTTATTTTATATATGCTAATTTCCAGCCCGCCAATGGTCCTTCTGTCTTGTGATATAGCACAACTACAATGTACTACACATGGGTCTCATGGTTTGGGAGAAAAATAATCTTCGGAAATCGGAAGTCTTCCAAGGCATCACATCGATCGAGCTTGTACAACTGCATCTGCAAATAATTTACTCCCATTATTTAGCACAGTTGGTAATCTGCACAAGGCTCCTAATTTCCTGGCGGCTTCTCTCCATTGTTTAGTCTGATGATTGCTCTTCTGATGCTCAATATAGTGTTCATCTTGTCCTTGCTATTATTTCCAAGCCAACCAATTAGCTACTCCAAAAAAGCAGGACACAAGTGCGTGCACTCTAGGAACGTAATGCATAATTATTATACTAGTATTGTTTATTGTTATATATATGGATGGACTTATGGTACACTACCATGTGTGGATGAGTTAGCTATGGGTGTCTTTACGTCGCTGTAGATGACATCAGAGAAAAGGGGAAGAACAACAATATAAATCGGCCGCCACATCATTTCAAGTAGGAGAAGCCGCCAAAAAAAAAAAGTATAATCAGGCCTACTAATTAGGCGTGACAGTGTCAGTACTTATCCTTCAGCCGAATAGAACAATGTGCTGTTCTGATCGCACATGTTAAATACGCTGTTGCTCTGGGATGACGGCATTTGAAGAAGCTGTTGCGTCCATGTCCATGCAGAGTCATAAGATCATGGAAAAACTCATCTATTACAATTATTGTGCTTCATAGCGACTTACTAGTTACTATAGCACAATGAGGCCTGGATCTGGTGGAATCCTTCGATCAGTGGGGGGTGATGCAACAACAGCAGTTGGACGATCAGCGGGAGGTGGCGCGTGGCGCCTCGGCGGCCTCTCCTCCCCACCTCCGACCCCTCCGTCTCCTCACTGCCGTCCCAAACGCTGCCTCTCCTCCGTCCGGCAACTGGCTAGGTTCATCTATGTCGTAGAGAATAAGAAAGATGATGACATATGAGTCTCACGTGTCATTCACTACTAGAATGCATTTGAGTGGTCTGTTTTACGTAGTGTTGGTGGAAAAGCCATTAAAAGTTAGATATTATCAAAATGTGTGGCTATCTAGGTAAGTAGGGGGCCTGTGTTAATAGCATTGCTGCAGATGCTTCAACGCCTGCGTGTACACCTGTACAAGTACATCACTGAAGGTTTTAATTAGTTACCTACCAAGTATACCAAACCATGCTAAGATTTTTCTAAACTCCGGAGACACGCGCACACACTTGGTAAACGTGATGATAATAGTGACCTTCTCACTGCTGACTCGTACAAAACTAGAATGAGCATAAACAACTTTGTTAAAGCACTATAATCTATCATTTCCCATGACGCGTATAGGAACAAGCACCCAGTTACCCGCTCGAATTTTTAATCAAGTATCTGAAACTAGAAAGAAAAAAAAAACAATAGATGGGCCTATAAATATATGTGGGTGACAAGTCATCGTCTCACTGCAGCCTGCAGCTAGCTACCGACGGCAGCAGACCAAGCAAGCAAGCAATCAGAGAGGAGCTCTGCTAGCTCTTGGACACCATCAATGGCCAAGATCCAGCCCCTGCCTCTGTCTGCAGCAGCCGCATCGCCTCCCTCCTGCTCTCCCGCGGGGGATGAGGAGCGGCGGAACCTCCAGAAGCAGGCCGTGTACACGGTGTGGATGAAGTCGCTGGTGTTCAACGGCAACGGCTGCACCGTGTACGGCGCCGACGGCGGCGTGGCCTTCCGCGTCGACAACTACGGCTGCCACGGCGGCCGCGAGGTGTTCCTCATGGACCACAGCGGCAAGACCCTCATCAGGATCCAAAGGAAGGGCCTTGGGATGTTCAGGAGGTGGGAGGCCTGCCGGTACTCAGACGACGGCGAGGAAGCGACGCCGTGGTTCAGAGTGCAGAAGAAGGCCGTGAAGAAGGGAGCCGCCGTGACGATGATGCACCATGGCTCCAGTGGCAGTGGCAGCGGGCCTGCGTACATGATCGATGGGTGCGCGCGCAAATCGGGCTACGAAGTCACCAGCGCTGGCGGCGCGGCCGCGGCGGCGGTCGAGCGGAAGCGGACGCCGTCAGGTGTTGTGCTGGGAGACGATATCCTGACGCTGACGGTGGGGGCCGGGACGGATCATCTGCTCGCCTTGGGTTTGGTGGTCGTCTGTGGACTTATGAATCGGTGCTTGTGATGGCGAATAGGGAGTTGATGACTGAGGATTCTCCATGGAAGTGCTGCTCCCTCACAAGAACGAACTTGTTCTTCTCTTTGTGCAGTTTTTGCAGTTAGATGATTCAGTGAAAATAACTAGTAGTAGTATAGAAATTTGATTTTGTTCCAGACGTAGCAGCTTGGATCCTTTTTTTTAGGGAACTGAAGGGGCCGTGGCCCCTACAGATTATTTATTCAAGTTAAAAAAAGGGTTACAACAAAATTTACAAATGTTACCAAAACGAAGAACAAAGATGCTAGGGAACCAGGAAGAAAACAAAGAAAATAAGGAGGGAGCTGATCACTGAGCTGTAGCAAGGTTGTGTAGCCATAATTCAAAGCTTGTGAGTAGACTTGGTTTGATCCTGAACAAGACCAACTTGAGCTCTTTGAAGAAATTCTCCTTGCAATTCTGCAACTGTGGCCTGATGTTTTTGAAGATCAGGTTGTTTCTTATTTTCCAAATTGACCAGCTCATTAGAATTATTGCCACCATGAAGAATTGTGACTGTAGCCTTATACTTTGATGGTTGAGACAATGCTAGGGAAGCTGGCGTTCTGCGGGACAACAATTCCAAGTATGTTCCAGCATTGCCTGGCAAAATTACAATGAAGAAAGAGATGCTCCAAAGTCTCTTCCACACTGTTGTTGCAGAGTACACAGTTGTAACTTTCCAGATTCATATTCCTTCTTCTTAGAACGTTCCTAGTGCTCAATCTATCTTTAAGAAGCAGCCAAAAGAAGACTTTATGCTTTGGTTGGCATGGACACTTCCAAATCCATTTGTAAGCGTGATCAACTACTGGATGATCCATCAACTCCTTGTAAATTCTGGATGAAGAGAATGAGGTAGAGCCCCAAATGTAACTCCACTTGTATCTGTCCTCAGTTAATGCCATATGTTCCACACTGTGTTCCAGCTCCTGCAACTGTGTCAATGCTTCTTGAGAAAGTGGTAACTGGAAGAAGTCTGAGAAATTTTCAGCAACAAGGGCAGTGTGAACTGAGATTGACTTATTTCTGGCAAAAGAAAATAACTCAGGAGCAGCAACAGCAGGGACACTGGGAGTCCAGTTATCAGTCCAGAAAAGGCAGCTCTGCCCATCCTCAACACTAATCCTAGTGAAGCTCTTGAATTTAGACAATAACTTCAAATTATCCCTCCACCAAAATGATCCCCTCTTGATGTGATTCGGTAACCTTCCATTCCTATAGTGCTTTTCTCAAACAAGGGAGACCCAAGGGGTGTCCACCCTGTTGAAAAATTTGTGGAGGTTTTTTAGCAGGAGTGCCTCATTCTGTTTTTTATGTCAATCACACCTAATCCCCCATCATCCTTTGAGGCACTGTCGGCGCAAAAACATGTCGATGCGCCTGACACACAACAAGCTGGAAGGATTTGCTTGATGGAGCAAGGATGAAGATCCGCTTGGCTTCAACGCAGGACCGGCCGATCCTGCGAATTTTTCAAGGGCGTGCCAGTCAATTTGACCTGCAATTGACAAGGAGAGAAAGTTTATCAGTAATTTTAGGTGGAACATGCCGGTTTTGCTCAGACAGTTCCAAGTGTGCCGCTTTAGGAGCAGCCAGACGGGGAAATCGACTAAATAGCCGATACGCGAAGAAATAAGCTATTACGGACTGTAAAGCTCATAGGTTGCGATTGATTTTATGATGACAAGTACAATGCACGCAGATATAAGTAACGTCGTCAGCCAGGTGGATATTACCAATGTAAAGCATTGAGCCGACGAGTTTAACGAGAAAGGATATAACATGCGAACAAATCGACTGCCTAGTACAAACGGATCTACAAACGTTCTGAATCTAATCTGTTACCATCAACAGTGAGGTTCGACCGGATCGATGACAGCTATGATGATAATGACAAACTAAAATCGAAGAATCCATAAAACCCTCTATACATTGATAGGTTTTCTGAAAGACATGCTATATGTGTGAAAGCACAAGCGAATCGGCTGAAATAGCCGATTCAGGTAGAAAAAAGAACTACAGCATGTGAGCAATCGACTATTTAACATGGATAGATCTATGAACTCATTAGACCTAACATGATATCTCTAACAGTGGGGTTCGACCGGATCGATGGCAGCCATGATAAAGACAACAAATCAAACCTTTAAAATAAACAGATCTATTCACATTTAACAGAATCATGGAGACACACTATAGGCGTTAAGGCACAAGCAATCGGCTATTTAGCCGATGCAGGCATAGCAAACAGCCAAGGTCATGCCTGGTCGAAAGCGAATCTACCCACTAGCATCCTCCGATCTAAAGTACTAACAGTGGGGATCGACCGGATCGTTACATCCATAATAGCGAGTTATAGACCAGATTCAACTAACTAGTAAATCTTCTTAATATCAAACATGCCTTAACCGCGTACTATGCACGAGCAAGATCGAAGTAGAACAACCAGTGAAATATAAATCTATCGTTTAAAGTAAGAACCGTCGTGATGTGACAAAATAAACGATGGACTAAAAAGGATGTGAGGCCGATCTAGATCGATCTCAATCAGGCAGGTTGATTTTGCTGAAACTAATGACAATAATAACATCAGCAAGATCGATAACTTAATGAATCTACCCGAAGGACGCCACACTTAGGTAGAGTCGATAACTTTACCATAATCTAATTGGAGCAATGGAGGTCGAACTTAACCGATGCAGCCGTACTTGAATTAGATAAGAGTCGATAACTAGCTTATACTAGAGCTCGTAAGAGTTCGGCCGGACCAATGCAGCCTTACAAACAGAGGTATAAGCCATAATGGTACTTAGAGATAAGCCGGAGGTCGGCCGGACCGATGCAGCCCTGTTTGTTGAAGAATTCGCCAAGATCTATACTACTCCTGCTCCTAAGGGTTGGCGTGAAGCCAAAAAAGTAATTGATATTGATTGATTAGATGTCTTTATTACAATAGCCGGGGGTTTATATTTATACCCTGAGCTGATAAGAGTCCTAAACGAACATGACTAGATAACAAAAAGAAATATTAAGATACACGGACGTTTAAGTTCCTTCACGTGGAATCCTTGCCGACAAATTGGATACGTGTGTGTCCTTGCTTGTTAAGCAAACGAAATAAAATATTCCTAATTAATCTCCATTTGATCGACCATGCAAGCAATGTACTCTCCAGAGTCCCGTGCAAACACAACTTCCCTTTCCTTGAGCGGCCGATCTTGGAAATCTTCTCGTGAGTGGCCTGGTAACATGTACGTATGTATTTGCTTGGACGCATCTTTATTGACTTGCATCTTCACTACGTCGGCAACCAGGACTCGTATTATTTCCTTCATGCATGGACTCTTTCTTTAATCAAGAAGCTTCACGTCTCCATCCAAAGATTTTCCTTGTATAGCTTGGCCAAATATTATCAACATATCATGCTGCAACAGAACTTTCCTCCTCGGCATACTCCTATATCCGTACACAAATAGGTTTCATCACGCCTAGGCCAACACTGCTGATGCCATGGCCTTTTATAATCTTTTCCAAATCTAGAATAAACAAGAACGTGTCTGGCCTTCCAAGTCTGTTGAACACATGCGCAGGCATGTTTCTTCTTTCTCTTGACACCTTCAAGTGTACGTATATACAAGCAACATGCAGACCAATGATAACCGTGTGTTTGGATATGCTTCCTCTAATGCACGACTTGATTAATAATTAAATAGGATATATTCCGGCTGGCTTCTTCCAATTGAACTTGTCGCCCTCTATCTTTATCTTGATTGGTCCGAAGTCTTCGAAATATATCCATGTGCACTCGGACAGCTCCACTGAATAAAAATGCACATTTGGCCAACTGTGATGCCATTAGACGAGATCCCTCCTTTCTTACCAAATTTTGGTGTCAACAGGCACACACCATCTTCCAGGCTGCTTTAGGTGGCTTTCTAGCATTGATTTCCCCCCCTTGCCAGAGACAATTTTTTATGAACTTGTCTATCCACTTGATGACTGTTTTTGGCATTTCTAGTGAACACATGTAGAAAGTGGGGAGTGAGGTGAAGACTGCATTAGTGAGTTCAAGTCTCCTAGCTTGACTCACAAAAGAAGAAACCCTAGCCAGCCTTTTCTCACATTTATTGATTAGGGGCAAGAAGTCCTGCAACTTTAGTTTTGTCAGACTCAAGGGGAGGCCTAGGTATGTGAATGGGAGGGAGCTAGTTGCACAGCCAAATGTTCTTGAAAGAACTTCAAGCCTCTCATTTGAAACATTGATTGGCACCATCATTGTCTTATCATAATTGACCTTGAGTCCAGGCACATGGAGAAAGTGTTTAGGAGTGACCTAAAAAAATTGCCTTGTGTCACCCTCCACAATTATCAAGGTGGCATCTGCTTACTGAATAACAGGAAAATCTTTATTTTGTTCCATGAGGATTGGCAGATTGAGTAATCCCATCTCCTTGACTTTGTTTATCATGGACTGTAGGAAATCAGCAGCTAATACAAAGAGCAAAGGGGAGAGAGGGTCACCCTGTCTGACCTCTCTTTTACAATAAAAAGTCTTCCCAGGGATTCCATTCAGTAGGACTGTAGAGGTGGCAGAAGAGAACATTGCATTTATCCAGCCAAGTCATTTTTGTCCAAAACCTTTAGCCTCCATAAGAGTTAGCATTGTTTGGTGTTCAATTTTGTCAAAAGCCTTTTCGAAGTCAATCTTGATGATGACTATTCCTTTTTTGGAATGATGACAGATGTGAAGGTATTCAAAAGACCATGCCAAGCAATCTTGAATTATTCTAGAGTGGATGAAGCCATACTAATTTTTGTGAACTAACCTAGTGATGATGGGCTATAGTCTGTTGGCCAGGAGCTTTGTCATGAGCTTGAGGGATGAGTTCAGCAGGGATATTAGTCTATAGTCAGAAATGCTCATAGGATTCTCAACTTTAGGCACCAGGGTGATATGAGATGAGTTGATACTTCTAAGTTCTAAG